TGTGTATTCCAGCTTTTCAATGCTTCTCAACATTCAAGATGTCCAGGTGCAAAAATATCTAAAAGTTCTTTATACATTTTTCTCAGTTTACTTTCTACTCTTAGTAAGCTCAAAATCATTAAGGGAGCTGAATGAAATGTTAGTTCAGTCCATTTCTTTCTCAAAGCAGAAGAAAACCTAATAAGGAGTTCTTAAATAAGTTCTATCAAACTTTCAGTACAAAAAAAATCTTTTGAAAAATGTTCTAGGACATGTCAGAATTTTTGACAGATATAATCATGTTTAACAAACTACTGAAGCTCATGGACATATACAGAAAATGAAATGAAGCACTGATTGAGAAAATAAAGCTGTACTTTCCTTGCTGGCAGTAACTGATAACTAATTAAAAATACTAGCATTAAATTTTACTTGGTAAATATTTACTTATTTTTACAGAAATAATATGATAAATAGAATATTTGATATTTTTCTTCTTTAACAAAAAAGCTATGCTTTCTAGTTTTATGATAAAACTTTGTAAAAGTTCTTCTTTTTGTTAACTGCACCTCTTTATTTGAGATTTAAGGTTTCTGTATTTTAGTAAATGCAAGAATGGAAATGCTTTGTAGAACACAATATCCTAAATGTTCTTTATGAATTTATGTATTTTTGCTGGCATTTTCATGGGTAATGCAACTGTGAAAAATTACTATCTGTTTTCCTGTTCATGCGAAGAATATAAGCTTGTTCTTAGGTTCATGATAAAAATTGATTAATCATTTTTGTCAATATGTGAGGTCATATTATCTGTAAGCATGATTTTTCACATAAACACAATTCTAGCAAAGGTACATTAAGAAAATGATTTTTAAATGTAATTTTGGAAAGCAATTTTCTAGCAACAGAAGTATTAAGTGCTGGGAGGAAAAGTGACTCAAATGGGCATCTTGAAAAATTACTTCAAGGTGCCAATTCTGGTTCATTACTTCAAAACCACCAGATGTGCTTGAAATACATTTTCCCAAATTCTTTAATATAATTGAAATAATAACACTAAGCATTAAAATACGTTAACACTTAGAATGTTCAGAATCCCTCCACTTAAAGTATCACATTTTAATATTTTTCTTGTTACATTTTTCTAGAGAATAGACAGAATATTACAAACTGAAAAATTTCTGAAACCACAAATGTATGTACGTACATGTATTTTTCTAAAATGTATCTGTATAAATGAAGAAAGTTTGGATAAATTAATTTGCGTTATATAAATTCAAGTTTGTTATAGTTTGTGTACATTGCAATAGCAGTCAACAGTAAATTAAAATGCTTTTTTAAAAGATGTAGCTTTTTGTCATTCGAGAATTGTGTTAGCACAGGGTGTCGCTTTTTCAAATACAGATAAAATATAGTGTTAAATACATATGTAATTACACTACTGAAAATAAAGAAAACACATGCAATATATTTCATTAATAACATCTCCAAATTTATACGTAAGTGATACAATTTAGAAATGGTGACCATTTTTTCATTCAAAATAGATTATTAGACTGACATATTAAAGGAGCTCTTAAATTTGAAAGGGGAGCAATGGAAATACAGATATTCACTGCTAGTGTTGTTATCAGCAAAGCGATGAAGTACTAGAAAACTGTATTTTAGATGTGTTTCATTTTTGTAAAATGAGTTAAAATCTGCCAGTATTTGTTTCATTTATTTCTCCAAATTTAAACTCAATAGCCATGCAATTGGGTACCTCAATAGCACTTGAATTTGATCATGATGAGGATTTGTGTGCAAAGTCATATATGTCATACATGAGAATCACACAGCCCTGTTCTTTTCTATTGGGTCTCAGAAAAACTACTAACTCTCTCTTGGTATAAGTTGCCTTTCTATAAAGAATAAATATGCCTATTACTCAGAGGTGTTTGGAATATTAGTTGAGATATTATATGCAAAAATGTCAAAAGTTGTGACTCACACATTATAAACACTAAGTAGCAGTAATGCGAATTATAAGAGAAAGGGGAGGAGGGTTAAAAGCAATATTTTAATAAGTTGATTCAATAGATTATTTATCGCTTTTTCAATTCTATTAGGTAGTTAATTTTGTTAGTGTCTAAGATGAATGTGAAAGGGTTGAAACATTCACGCATTCAACAAATATTTCAAACTCTCAGTTGTGTGCAACATGGTGCTAAACTCTGTAGAAAATAAGAAGAAAACACATTTCTGTCTTTAAGAATACTGCCTGCTCATAAGGAAGCAGTCAAGTAGTTGAGAATCCAACAATAACATACTCGAAAATAGTGAGTGGTAACTTGTGTGGTGATTTTAAGATACAATAGGAGCTTGGAGAAAGAAGAACTTTGAGTATACTCCAAGAATTCAGAAACACTTATTGAGCTAGGACATAGAGAATGAGTGAAATCTAAGTAAGTGGAATGGAAAAAGAAGTTATTCTGACAGGAAATTGAAGGAAAGAAAGGTCATATAGACTTTGAAAGCAGAATGGAGGTGTGCCTTCTGTCTTACTCATTTAATAGCTGCAATATCTGGGGTGTTACTTAAAATTTGAGTTTTATTAAAATGACATGTGCATAGTAATACTGTGTAATAGTATCTAATGGTGTTTCCAATATGGGGCAAGGATTCAGAAACACTGAGAACAAAGAAGCAAACAACTTGGCCACAGCAGAAATGGATATAATAATAGGTATACCATTGAGTGCTGATGTGGCCCCTTGTCCTCCTTACTGGTATGAGTCAATGAGCTCATGGTTCATTTTCTGTTATTTCAGGCTGCGTTTGTCACTCTGTAGGTTGCAACTAATAATGAATATAGGGAGAGCCTTGGTGAGGAGCTAGCTAGGAAGGCATGGCAGGGCAGGGATGGGGGATATTCCGTTCCTTTTCATTTGTATCTTTATTAAAAATTTTTTTACATTACTTAAGTTGTTGATTTGTTAGGAAATCCAGGAGAAAGCAATTTAAGCTAAATCTGAGTCACCATTTTTAAGAATGTTCTTGGCCTGGTTTAGCTAAATTATTACATCAGCAAAAGGCAAGAGAGAGTTGTTGTTTTATGTGGGGAACTTAGAAAAATAAAATAAATATGAGAATTAATGTATTTGTGTGTGCACACACACACACTACACTACACTCAAACAAAATCTTCCAGGCTACATAAATTGAATCAGAATAAGCAAAAACTATACAACACCGAAGCAGCGGGCAATTATTTTGTGTCTCTTTGGTTGACTGGGGAAGGACGTATATTGGAGCCTGCCTGAGCTGTCAGCTGCATGATGCCAAGAGGTGGCAGCTACACCAGATAGATGAGAAGCCCACCACAGTTAGCTCCCCTTCCCACTTCCCACTTCCCACAAGACCTGACACCAATTCAGAGGGGAGAGAGCATGCAACAGCAGGGAAAGAGACTGCAAGTGCTGATAACAAAGTGCTCTCAAGGCAAGTTGCTGGCCTTACCTGTTTTACTTGAGTCTGCAGCTCACCAAATGACTTCCTTCCACAGCCTGCCATTCTGGTCAAGTGGCTGGCTGGCTTCCTGGTCATCCAGGTGTTGGGGCTAATTGTAGAAGGAAAGCAGCTGAGTCAGTGAATAGCCCTGATCACATTCCACAAGATGAACCTGTGCCTAGTTACCTAGTGAAATCAATGAAACAGTCCTCACCTGTGCATTTTCATGTGTTTTTAAATTTTATGAAACACATTTATAAAAATCAATTAAAATTAATGTAAAAGCTTACCAAATCATCATAAAGTAAAGATTCTTATTACCACTGGCCAGGTCAAAGAGTGTAACTTCGCCCTTCCATGTGCTCCATTCCAACCACAAATTCCTGTCTTCCTCCAAAAGTAAATACCGTTCTATTCCTTACTGAATCATTATAACGTGAAGATTCTTATTACCACTGGCCAGGTCAAAGAGAAGTTTGCCCTTCCATGTGCTCTATTCCAATCACAAATTCCTGTCTTCCTCTAAAAGTAAACACCATAGTATTCCTTTTGTTTCTTTAGTAGTATCACCTAAGTGTGTGCCCATAGACAATAGAACTTCATCTTGCTCATTTAAAAAAACTGACATACATGTTAAATAGCTTTCATTCATAGGTTTTCCATCTGATTATTTCTTTTTTCTCACTGTTGAAGAACCTGGGAGGTTCGGCCTGTACACTATCACTCAGTTAATTGCACAACCTTGGAGTAGGTTGGCATGTTCCTGTGTCTACTGCATTTCCTACAATTTGTCAACTGGATTCAGAGGCTAGATCATGTTTGATCAGAGGCTCAATCAAATCAAATGTAGATTTTATCCCTTTGGCTGGAGTATAAACGGCATTTTCTTCTATTGAGATATTTGTAACATCTGGTTTTCCCATTTTTCTGTGAGTTATAAGTTGTTGCTCAGTGCCTAGATTCATTAATTCACTGGAGATGATTGCAAAATGATCATATTCTAAGTGTTTTAATGTATTTTTCATACTTTGCTAAAATATTTTTATAAAGAGACATCCCTTCATCTATTCGTTAGTTTCTTGTATTAGAGTTTATTTTGGAAAGGCAAAATAAATGAGTGATTCACATTTTTTATTTACCAGTTTTTATTGTAATTAATAGGTTTATTGTTCATTACAATAACTCTCCAAAAATCAACAATTTTAACATTATTATAAACTCATAAATATATTTCTTGGGTTTTATCCATTGCTCGTATCATTCCGACTGTAGTTTAAATTGTCCCATTTCAGCCCCTAATAGCCTCTTCAAGTAGGTTTTTAGGTACTTTTACTATAAGGTATTTTTATTTTATTATTTTCTTGCTATATTTTATACAAAGACATTTTAGGCTTCTCTTATGCTGGTCTAAAACCTGGAATCAGCCATTTATTCAGGAAATCCTGGTTGCCATTAGAAGTGAATTGTATTGCAAGACAATAATTTGAATAACAGGAACGCTCATCACTCCTGGATTAGTCAAGCTGCTTCTTTCAAAAGAGATAGAAAATATTCATTTGTAATTTTTTAAGACAAAAAACTTCAGGTATTCATACTGATATTTTACATTCAAATCAGGTCTAAAGGTTTTGTTGCTTAATCTCTTCTCTGTTGCATCTGTATCTCATTTCTTCCACACTGAGAGAATCTTAGTTCTCCAAGACCCTGGGGATGATAGAATTAGAATATCTCATAATAATTAATTTCCATTTTAGCACATTACAAAAACAGCAGTCTCAAGATAATATAGCATTACCAATATAAATTTAATTACTAAAACTCATTTTTACATATGCTCCTCCCATTCTCTCCACATCTTTTATGGTTATGTTATGTCTCCATTGTCATTTATATTTAGCTCTACAAATAACCATACATGTCATGTTTACTATCATCCTTGTGTCAATGTCTTTTTAGTCATTTTAATTACATAAATATTATCATCCAATCGAGTTACTACATTCCTGCATTTTGATAATAGTTTGTTTCTGAATTTTATAAATTCTAAGCTATTTTGTGTTCTTTGAATTTGAAAGTCTTCAGCCCACATATTATTTTCTAGAGTATATTAAATGTTAGTTTACTTTTTGCTTACTAAAAGAATTGTTTTCAAAATCTGATGTAATATAATACTCCCTCTCTCTTACATCTACGTTTCTTTTTTTGCCTAGATGTTCATATAATGCTTTTTTATTTAAAGTCAGTAATTGTATTAGAATATGTTTTAATAATGTTAATTCTGGTTCAATAATCCCAGATACACAATGTGTTCCTTAATATGCAGTTTCAATGTTTCACTATTTTTTTTAATTTCAGAAAAGTGATTTTACTTAATTTTTTACTGTTAGTTCTGTTTCCCTGATTTGGTGCTCTGCTTAGTGACTCTTATTTTCTGTATACTAGATTTTATTAATCTTTGAAAATTTTACTCAAATCATTTTAAGATTTTTTTTATTTTAAAAGGTATCATTCCTTTCATCTATTTATTTTGAGATGATATCAGTTGTGGTTATTTGCTCTTATAATTTCTCTAGTTTGATTCTTATTTATAAACTAATTTATTCCTTGTATTTTAAATTCTTTTCTGAGTTATAACATCATTTCCGAATTTTCCTTTCCTAATTTACTTTATTATTTTATTTCTTGTACAAATTTGCTAATGTCCTTTAATTTTCTGTGGAGTAATAAGTTATATTTTTATGCTTTGGAAGCATGTTGTCTGGAGAGCTAGTCATCTCTGTATGTATGGATGCTACTTTTCTCTTTATTCTCTCTTTTTTTTCCTTTTCATAATTTTGTATAATCTGGTTCATTTTTGGTTGATCATTTTGATGAAGTGTTTGTTTTATTCAGGTTTTAGAACAGCTATGGTTCAAGAGTTTTTCTAACGTTACAGTGTTATAGCGACACAAGTCACTATAAAAACTTCCACCTTGAGTAATATACCAGTAATACAAATCTTCAGGTGATTATTTTAGGTATTAAGGATGTCAGTTTTTTCTTACTATACAGTTCTTTACATTGTTTGTCTAATTCTTCATTCAGTGGGGATCACATCATGCATCTCAGTATGGCAACAGAATGTAGACAGCTAGACAGCATCAAAATATTTTAGCCTGGAATGGCTAATCGTAGGAGATATGTGGAGGATGTAAGTAAAAATTAAATTCTCCTCATAGCAAGTTTATATAGGGGAAGCCTCTCATATTAACCTCACCTTGTCTGTCTGTCTCTTACTTTGTATTAAACTATACAATCACCTCCAATAAACTGTTGTTCCCAACAAAAGCCTGTACCATAAACAACAATGAATGTATACTTTATTTATTTAATTACACAGACCAGACAGAATGACTACTCTATTTCTTCCTCCCATATGGAGACCATATTTTCCTGGTTATATACCATTATCTCTCCTGAGCATCCATATTAACCACCTTCTCAACACAATCTCACACACACACACACACACACACACACACAAACACACATATCTTAGTCATTAAGGCTAGAAGGAATGGGGAACCACCACTACAAATATACATACATGCACACGCAAACAATGTAGTTAGGCAAGACTCTGAGAGAGGATTTTCCAAATGCATCCAGAGATGAGGGTGAATCCTAGTTGAATGGAAAGTTTTCTATCCACAATCAAGATTGGGCATTAGGGTTCAATCCTCTGTATGTGACTTCCAGTGGGAGCCACTAGAATGCAAGAGTGATGGTTTTTGAAACCTTTCATTACAGTTGACATGCATTGCCATGTTCACTTCTTCATTTGGGTGGCAGCCATTTTCTACCAGTAATTATGAAGGCTTTAGAACTTCAATTTTCTTTACTGAATTTTGTGCCAATACCATGTTTCATTCACAAAGCCAACACTTTAAGATCCTGGCTTTTCAGTTCTCAGAACAGAATGCAACAAAGGTGATTCTGGGATAAAGAAAATGAAATGTAAAAACAGATGGAGCAACTATCTACATGTGCATCAAAACTAGGTATTGTGGTGTCTTCATGAGCCTTGAAATACCACAGGTAAAGATCAAACACTAACATGATATTTTGCATGCTATCAGCAATGATGTGGAATGAAGCTATATTCATCCATTTTCATGCTGCTAATAAAGACATACCCAAGACTGAACAATTTACAAAAGAAAAAGGTTTAATGGACTCACAGTTCCACGTGACTGGGGAGCCCTCACAATCATGACAGAAGGTGAAAAGCACATCTCACATGGTGGCAGACAGGAGAATTTCTGCAGGAACACTCCACTTTATAAAACCATCAGACCTCATGAGACTTATTCACTATCATGAGAATAGCATGGCAAATACTCGCCCCTATGATTCAGTTCTCTCCCACTGGTCCCTCCACAACATGTGGGAATTATGGCAGCTGCAATTCAAGATGATTTGGATGGGGACACAGCCAAACCATATCATTCAGCCCTTGGCCCCTCCCAAATCTCATGTCCTCACATTTCAAAACCAATCATGCATTCCCAATAGTCCCCCAAAGTCTTAACTCATTTCACCACTAACTCAAAAGTCCACAGTCCAAAGTCTGATCTGAGACAAGGCAAGTCTCTTTTACCTATAAGCCTGTAAAAGCAAAAGCAAGTCAGTTTCTTTCTAGATACAGTGTGGGTACAGGCATTGGGTAAATACAGCCATTCCAAATGGGAGAAATTGGCCAAAGCGAAGGGGCTAAAGGCCCCATGAAAGTCTGAAATTCAGCTTGGCAGTCATCTTAAAGCTCCAAAATGATGTCCTTTGACTCCACGTCTCACGTCCCAGTCACACTGATGCAAGAGGTGAGTTACCATGGTCTTGGGCAGCCCTGCTCCTGTGGCTTTGCAGGGTACAGTCACCCTCCTGGCTACTTTCATGGGCTAGTATTGAGTGCCTGTGGCTTTTCTAAGTGCTCAGGGCAAGCTGTTGGTGGGTCTACCATTCTGGGGTCTGGAGGATGGTGACCCTCTTCTTATAGCTCCACTAGGCAATGCCCCAGTGGGGACGCTATGTGGGGGCTTCAATCTCACCTTTCCCCTCTGCAATCCCCCAGCAAAGGATCTCTATGAGGGCACTGCTCCTGCAGCAAACTTCTACCTGGACATCCAAGTGTTTCCATACATACTCTGAAATCTAGGTGGAGGTTCCCAAACCCCAGTTATTGATGTCTGTGTACCCACAGGCTCAACACCACATGGAAGCTGCCAAAACTTGGGGCTTCCACCCTCTGAAGCCACAGTCTGAACTCTATGTTGGCCCCTTTCAGCCATGGCTGGAGCAGCTTGAATGCTGGACACAAGGCTGCACACAACGTGAGGACCCTAGGCCCAGCCCACAAAACCATTTTTTCCTCCTAGGCCTTTGGGTCTGGGATGGAAGAGGCTGCTATAAAGACCTCTGACATGCCCTGGAGACATTTTCCATATTGTCTTGGGGATTAACATTCAGCTCCTCATTGCTTATGCAAAGTTCTGCAGCCAACTTGAAGGCTTAAATTTCTCCTCATAAAATGATATTTTATTTTCTATTGCATTGTCAGGCTGCAAATTTTCCAAACTTTTATGATATGCTTCCCTTATAAAACCTAATGCCAGTCAGGCATGGTGGCTCACACCTGCAATCCCTGCACTTTGGAAGGCTGAGGTGGCAGATCACTTGAAGTCAGGAGTTCAAGACCAGCCTGGCCAACATAGTGAAACCCCATCTCTACTAAAAATACAAACAATCATCCAGTCATAGTGGGAGGTGCCTGTAATCCCAACTACTCAGAAGACTGAGGCAGGAGAATTTGAACCCAGGAGGCAGAGGTTTCAGTGAGCCAAGACTGCACTGCTGCACTCCAACTTGGACAACAGAGTGAGCCTCCATTTCAAAAATAAACAAAAAACAAAAACCCTGAAAGCCTTTAACATCACTCAAGTCAGCTCTTGAATGTTTTACTGCTTGGAAATTTCTTCCTCCAGATACCCTAAATTATCTCCCTCAAGATCAAAGTTCCACAAATCTCTATGGCAGGGACAAAATGCCACCGGTCTCTTTGTTAAAACATAACAAGGGTCACCTTTTCTCCAGTTCCCAACAAGTTCCTCATTTCCATCTGAGATCACGTCAGCCTGGACTTTATTGTCCATATTGCTATTAGCATCTTGGGCAAAGCCATTCAACAGGTCTCTAGGAAGTTCCAAACTTTCTCACATTTTCCTGTCTTCTTCTTGGCCTTCCAAACTGTTTCAGCCTCTGCCTGTTACCCAGTTCCAAAGTTGCTTCCATATATTCGGGTATCTTTTCTGCAGCACTCCATTCTACTGGTACCTAATTTACTGGATTAGCCCTTTTCAAGCTGCTGATGAAGACATACTCAAGACAAGGCAATTTACAAAAGAAAAATATTTAATGAACTCACAGTTCCATGTGGCTAGGAGGTCTCACCATAGTGGCAGAAGGTGAAAGGCATAACTCATATGGTGGCAGACAAGAGAAGAGAACTTGTGCAGGGAAACTCCCTTTTATAAAACCATCGAATCTCATGGTACTTATTCACTATCACTAGAATAGCACAGGAAAGACCCACCCCCATGATTCTATTATCTCCAATCGGGTCCCTCCTACAACATGTGGAAATTATGGAAGATACAAGTCAAGATGAGATTTGGGTGGGGACACAGTCAAACCATATCAGAAGAAGATGGACGCAATGGAGACTGCTAGTTGTAAGAATAAGAGAGGCTCAAAATAGCTACCAAGTATTCATTAGGTAGGAGAAAAGGCCACCATGGTGTCTATTGTTTTAGTACAGTGTTTAAAATACAGTGACTGACTTTTTGACTTATCTTAGCTCTGTTTCCCTCCAACACTTTTACTTCTCACATTCTTACCTACTGGGGATGAAGAGAAGTTGATTAACAGAAACAAATACATAGTTTGATAGAAGAAATAAGACCTAGTGTTTGATAGATCAGTAGGATGAGTAGAGTTTACAGTAATTTATTGTACATTCAAAACAGCTGGAAGAGAATAATTAGAATGTTTATAGTGTAATGAAAAGACAAATACTTAAGGTATTGGCTATCCCAAGTACACTGATCTTTACCAATTATGTGAATGTATTAACTTATCATATGTACCTTGAAAATATGTATATGTACTATGCATCAATAAAAAACAACCGCATAGATACCTTTTAAGAAAGCATGACAAATAAAAGTGCACAATTTTTAAAAAAAAGATAGAGGGATAGCACTGGCCATGCTAGGCTTGAACTTTTTGCTGCCATCCATATATTATCGCCATACTGAGGTGCATGGTATGTAACCGCTAAATAAAGAATGAACAAAACAATGAAAAAACTGCAAAGCAGAAAAAATATGACACCTTAAAGACCTAAAAGAGTCACCTGGAGATTTGTATTCTTGGTGTACTATTCAACGTGGAAGTTTATATAGTGATTTGTATCACTTGTTTATGATGGTGTCTGTGCGATTACCATATTAGAAGTTTACATCTCTTCACATTGTCCAGAATTGTTAAATATTTACTGGGAATGAGGAATGTACAAGGAACCAAAGAGCAAATTATACTGAGTCATACCCAGGTCTGCTGAATATCTAAGACTCTTGCAGAAAGTGGTCCATGGATATATGTGCCTGTAATACCATAAGGAACTGATTTATACGGTAAAGACAATTATTTATGTGTTGCTTCCTGCAATCTAATGGTATAAAAGGGATAAGTCTGTGTGTTTTCTGGCTCATTCAACCTTGAGTGAGTGGAATTAACTAAAGTAACTAGAGAAATATTGGGGGCTCTTATAATTTTAATTGACTTCTTATATCACAAGGCCTTTGCAATTTTGTTTGCAGGTTGGATAGTAAAAAAGATGAAAGCTATTTAAGCTGACTCTGTGTTACCATTGTTGACAGGCTCTGAACTGTAATAAGCCTGTATAGTGTAGCCTATTTTAATTGGCATTAACTGTTTATATTCCTATACATCCTGCAAATAATATAAATTCTACTTAGGGAGCACTTTTTTTTTTTATCTTATTTTAAGAGCCTAGTATCATCCTCAATACATGTAGAAAAAAAGAACAAATGTGGTTCTCAGATATGTATGGAACTGGTTTGCAGTCGAAGAAACCAAAGTCTTCAAAATTATATAGTTGTATATTTCAATAAGATAGTAAGTAAAAGGCACATAGAATAAGATTGTTGTAATAGAAAATTTAAGAGATTTTTTGGAAAAAGACAAGTCATTTTATAAATAGTGTATACAGTATAGAAAGGTAAGGTACCATGAAATGTATGAATGTGAAAATACTTTGGAAATAAAGAAAGAAAATCAGTGTATTTCTCAATACTATACAGATGGTACACATGAGAAGAGCAAAAACTATGTTTCTAGCTTTTTAATTTAGAATAATTAATGTAGTCACTTAATATTAAAATGCTAAGAATTTACTGAAGAGATGAACTCAGCATGAAACATTTATAGGTTGAGTAGATGACACACATTAATCCAAATATGTCTTCATAATTATTATTATAGAACTAGAGTAGAAGAAACAAACTGAACTTAAGGAGTTCCAATTATTTTAGCAATGAGTTTAAAGCTTTTGAATAATGAGAGCTGTTGAACGATGCAAGGATGGTACTGATTTTTTATTTCTAGAAGTTTTCATATATAGTATTTGTCAGATTTATTTATAGAGCCTTTCTATTTCAGAAATTATGTTTTCCTTTATTTTTTATCTGTATGCACTTTATGCAACCCTTGAGTCTGTTTTTTTTTTTTATTTTTAGTCCTTTTATGATAGTATAAAAGAAGTAAAAATCTTCAATCCTTACAATTTTTTTTGCATTTTTTTAGTGTAATAGAGCACTTCATCACATTTCCCTATAGGTAAATAAAATACTTAAAAATCATTCAGAGCAATTCTTAGAACTACTCTAGTGAATTTTATACACACAACTAAAACAGCAGCAATAAGTCAAAATTTATACAAGGCAAAATGCTTTTAATTACTTTCCAGATATAATTATGCATATACACAGATGGCAGGTAGAACAGCTTAGTTATACAAAAGAAGGTGCATGAATAATTGCTGTAGCTTGAACAACAAAAGTAAGTTGTTTTACATATAAAATGATAGGATGAAAGATGTAGTGAATTTGAATCTGGTTTAAAAAGAGGAGTCCTGATTGACACTGTAGTCTCAATAACACAAAATTGTGATAAACAACAGTGAATAAATAATACAGAACACACCTAAATAGCTGTTTAGAATTGCAGATAGATGCAACCTTGTCTCATTGAAGGTCTTCAGGCACAGCTGAAACATTCAGATAAATAAGGTTTAGATGATGGAGAAGCCGGCCACAAGCTTTTCTAAATACTCGAAATATATGTAAGCAAACATTCAGAAGTGGCTGCTGTGTTTCTTATGACAAGCAACCATCAAAACCAATAGTTAAAGCTAAGAATAACATTTGGCATCCATTTCCTCAGGACAGAGAGGAACATAAAATACAATAAATAACGCTTTATATTGACTTAATGAATATATTGCTTTATTTTACCACGTTTTAATTTCCACTTATCTGAGATTATCACTAAGATTTGAAAATAAAAAATAATTTTAGCTTATTATTAGAAAGAATAAAAAAACTGAGTAAATGAGTAAATTATAATGCATTTAAATGCTGACTATATTCCCTCATTTTTAAAAAGTTTAAAAATTAATTAAAAAGTTATTTTCAAAACAAGATCTTTTCTTAATAACTTTTTAAAATGCTGAGTATGCACATTCTACTTCTGATGAACAGCAATATTCTCCATGGTTTAAAAATGTTTCCAAGTTTTACACATGTGCCTGAGTTTGAATTACATGGGTAAAAAAGATTATTCTAAAGGAATATGAATCAAATATAAAAAATCTTTGTAATTTTATCTAATGTACTATGGTATATACATATATTTACTTAATAAACAAAATACAAACTTGAAAACAAATATTTAGAGACAATAGTAAAATATTTCTACATATATCATTAGGGCTGTCTGATTCAAAAAATATTAAATCCGAATGCAGATTTTCTGGTTTTATTTTTATTTTTAAACATATCCACTATATGGAAAAAGCTGCCTTCATCACCCACAGTCCAAATAGAGATTCCCAATATGTCATCTCATTTATGCAGGGTATTAAATGCCTCATGGTTTTGATGATTTTTTGAATTAAATAAGTTAAGTACATTTATTGGTACTACTTACTTGTAACTCCTGGGTCAATTGTTCTAAATGAGTACTTTGCCAAATTGGAACATGAGACTATGCAAAAGGAAACAGAGAAGCCATTTTTCAATTATTTTATTTGATAGTTAATGACTCTATCTTCTTTATAAAAGGTGATATACATATACAAAAAATTTCTAATATGTTAAAGAGTATAGTGACTTTTTATTTAAAAAATATTTTATTGCAGCAAGAGCACATAACATGAGTTCTACCCTGTTAACAAATTTTTAAGTATACAATACATTATTACTATAGGTATAGTATTGCACAGCTAATCTCCATAGCTTATTCATCTTGCTTAACTAAAACTTCATGCTTGTCGATTAGTAACTCCCAATTTTCCTCTCCCCTCCATCCCCTGACAATCATCATTCTACTCTTTGATTCTATGAATTTGAATATTTTAGATGCTTATATAAGTGGACTCATGCAGGATTTGCCTTTCTGTAACTGGTTTAATATCACTTAGCATAGCGTCATTCAGGTTCATCCATGTTGTTGCATATTGCAGGATTTTCTTCTTTCATGATACTGAATAGTATTCCTTTCTGTATATATATCAAACTTCATTTACCCATTCATGAAGAAACAAAGCTGATGGACACTTAAGTTGATTTTACATCTTGTTTGTTGCGAATAGTGCTGCAATAAAAATAGGAGTGCTAATATCTCTTTGATGCTCCACGTCACTAATCATCAGGAAAATGCAAACAAAAACCACCCATCAGGATGGCTGTTATCAAAAAGAAAAAGCACAAGTGTTAGTGAGGATTTAGAGAAATTGGAACCCTTGCAAACTGTTGGTGGGAATCCAAAGTGATGCAGCCACAAACAGATGGAGGTTTCAAAAAAAATGAAAATAAAACTGTCATATGATCCAGGAATCCCACTTCTAGGTACTTATCAAAGAGAATTGAAATCAGGACCTCAAAGAAGTATCAGCACTCCTATAATGATCCTATAATGATTTTCATATTAACTCAACATAGTTTTCTTGAGCAACCTCAAACTCCCTCTGCCATTTTCCCAAATATGTTGCTTTTTCAGTTATTCCAGGTTGACAATTTTTTCTTTTTTCTAAAAAAGGACAAACAGTCAACATTTTTGGCTTTGCAGGCTTCTGTTTTACTAAGATTTGTCAATGATTTGTAAAAGGAATTTAAAAGCTGAGCAATTGTAAAGCCATGTGTCACAAAAGTTCATTTTATTCACATAACTCATGAAAGTCAGTATGGTTTTATTATGGAATTGTTCCATCAGTGGTATAAAAATATTTTCACATTGTCAACAAAATAATAGTTGCATGTGAAATTATTACTCAGCACACCTATCTATTAATTAAAGTGTACACCTTAAAACCATTAAGAAATGAAGGAAATATAACAAAGTCTAACTGAATTGATTTTTACTATGGTTTGGTTCTTAGGTTCTTATTGTTTACAATTACAGTTACTATACTGCACATTCCAAGAATTGTTGATTATTTCATTCAAAACATGCTATGCATACAAATAGTGATTATACAGATCTAGTAAATATATATACAATTTCCATTAAATAGAAATATACTTAGAAAATAATAAATCCCCTCAGATTTCTTATGGTAGTTTAAAATATATAAATAAAATACAGTGAAATTGAGATAAGGCAAAAGAATCCATTTAATTGGCTATGACCAGAGAATTATCTTTATTTTCTTCTTGAATAAACTATAATAAAACCATACGATCAGATCAAAAACTTTGGTTTTCTTAGATTTAATGTCATCCTTAGTTTGGGAGTAAGAGTGAGTAGAGCCAATTCTGAGTATTGTTAGAGCATATCCTTATAAACACGTTTCCTCTGTTAACAAATACTGGTTGAGATATCGTCATCTTGAGCAATATGTTCTTTCAGATAAATTCATTTAGTTATCTCTCATACAAGATTAAGTTATGTTATATTATGTGCAAAGATTCGTGTTAACCAACCCTGAATATCAGGAATGTCTTCAGTTTCAAGTAACTGTGAGTGTAGTGAAGAATTAAACTAAAATCTAAGTGGGAATTAATGAGGTGTGTAGGCAAAGGCATATGTTTTAGATAGAGGAACAGTGTGAATGATGACGTGCCATCGACAAATATGTAGTGAGAGTTTTTTGTGAGCAAAGAGTGTGCTAAGAACTGTGATATGGCAGTGGGTAACAGAATGAATCACTGCATTCACAAAGTTTCCATTCTTGCAGAAGGAGACAAACAATAAACAAATGAGCAAGAATATCTATAATATGAGAAGCTACATCGCACAGTGGACAAAAGCATAGATGCTTGAGACAAATTGCAAGGGCTTGAATCTCAGCTCTTCCACTTGATAACTCTGTAGTCTTGGGCTAATTTTTAACATTAGCTTGCCTAAAGTACCTCATGGGTAAAATGGATGTAATAAAACTATCTCTTAATGCTGTTATGAGAACTGAATGAGTTAATATAGGTCAAATGCTTAGAATAGTGTATGGAACATAATGTCATAGAAATACTTGCCTTTATTTTCAAGAGCTACGAGGGGAATAAGCAGTTTAAGGAAAATAGGGAAGAGCATGTGGTGTGGTAATCTGATAGAGGATCATCAGGGAAGACCACTTTAATCAGGTTACAGTTGAGCAGAGGTCTAAAAAGAGGTGATGAAACACACCATCCTGAAAGCTGGGAGAAGAGTGTTCAGGCAGCAGGGACAGCAAGTGCAAAGGTTTGCAGACCATTCTAAGTTTAGCTTTTACTGTCATTAACATGAAAAGACAGTAGAGGCATTGTGACAACAAATGACATGATTTGACTTGTATTTTAAAGATTGCACTGACTGCTCTATGGAGAATAGACTCTCAAGGGTCAAAAGAGGAAGATCTGTGAGGCTATTGCAGTAGTCTGGGAGAGAGGATGATAGCGTGAACCAGGATGGGACCAGCAATCATATAAAAAAGAAAAAAAAGTACGGGCATGGTGGCTTATGCCTGTACTCCCACCACTTTGGGAGGCCGAGGCCAGCAGATTACCTGAAGTCAGGAGTTCGAGGCCAGCCTGACCAACATGGTGAATCTCTGTCTCTACTAAAATATAAAAATTAGCCAGACATGATGGTAGGTGCCTGTAATTCCAGCTACTTGGGAGGCTGAGGCAGGAGAATCTCTTGAACCCAGGAGGTGGAGGTTGCAGTGAGTGGAGATTGTGCCACTGTACTCCAGCCTGGGTGACAGAGAGTCAGACTCTGTCTCAACAACAACAACAACAACAAAATTCAAACTTTAAATCTTTATGTAGGTAGTTTTTAGGTAGATTTAAATTTGCATTTTTCTGACAGATAGGGCCTGGGTTAAAGAAAGAGAAGTCAAGATGCTACCCAGATATTTATCCTGAGAAACCATAAAAATACAATTGTCTTTTATTTAAAAAGACGATTTGATGGATAAGATTTCGAGCCTTCAAGAAAATAAAAGTTGCAAACAAGAGCAAAATGGTTAGTTTAGCAAAAAACATGGATTGAAAAAGGAAAGCAAAAGATACACCCTTTATGTATAGAAGTTTTTGAGGTGAAGCCAAGTGTTTTAATTTGTAGAAGATGTCTTCAAATAGTTCTTTCTCGCTTGCTTCATTGTTTCACTTCTTTCTATAGAAGATGATTTCTGTTAATTTTCTTTTTTCAGCACTTTGTAGTTCGGATGCATTTACCTAATTGAAAAAGCAAGTATGACTTTCCATATGAAGGATAACTTACCACCTGAATAAAATCAAAGCTATTTTAAAAAGATAGGCTTTACAGGAACCCTCTTGGGTTTTCTTCTTTGTACTCCTTTAGACAAACTACACGAAACACAGTGAAGAGGCCTCTCTGTTGCCACTTGTATCTTTCATCCACATGAAAAATCTACTTCTGATCTTTTAGAATATCATATATAGCATCAGAAAAATTTGTAAAATATGTTGACTCACATTCTCTGTAAACTATCTGCTCAGAAACGTGTTATTCTTGAGTTTCTAGTTTTTTATTTTAATTTAACTGTTCATTAAAATAATTTCAAAACATTTCTGTAGAACTTGTTTTTATTGTAACATAGAAAAACAAGTTTCCTTGTGACTTACTTTCTAGAAATAACTCTGAAAGTTATTGCTGAAAACCACAGAGTTTACAAAGTACTATGTTTAAAAGTTTTATAGTAATCTCTCTAAAAGATCAATATTATTTGGTCAAACATGATTTGTCATCCAATAAAAGGACAGATATTATACTTCATTGCAGTTTTTTAGAAAATGTGTATCTTGTTGTATCTTTTAGAGCAAAAACAACCTGAGGAATACAGGCAAAATTCTTTATAAAAAGAGTAGTATTAATACAAAAGTAATGCAAAGGTTGATATTACAACCTTTCACACTGATAGCACCATTTCACAAGTTTATATACATGTGGAGTAAAATGAAATCCTAAATGATGCAGTCCATTTTTTGGTGACAGAAATGTGGATTTCAGACAGGTTTTAGAAACTGAAATTTACAATTACCACACTGCTATGTATTTTCATGTAGAACATCATCAAACTATTTAGAAAATTGATTAACTTGATTAGCTAAAACACAGGCCAGAAGAGTGTATAATGCTGTTAAATATCAAATATAGTGACTCCATGTTTATTTACATAAATAAAATGCTTTCAATTTGGACACAGTCTTAATAGCGAATCAGTTAGATGGTTAACTAGATTCAAACCCCTCCCCAATCACTATAGTAGGCCAGAACTAAAAGCTCTCCAATTAGGAATAATCAGAACAGGGTTGCAACACTATGCAACTTGTAAACATAGCCATTCCTGAGACAATACAGAAATGGTTACAGGATATTAGAAAGGAAAAGCATATTAATAATTTATAAAAATCATACATAGAATGGATGACTATTGCAGATTCAGCTATTTGTAAGTAATCCCAAAGGATCAGAACATGTATTTATTTGTTGTTTGGTGAACCAAATTCCAATAACAGCAAGGAAATTTCAGTGTATAATTTATTG